TCTCTTATAAAGGGGTTCGACTGTAGTTATTATCCTAAACTGCATGTATTGAAACAGAAGCAATTGTAACTGGTACCTTTTGAAAGCTCCCTCTTTATTGGCACCAGACAAGTGACACACTTTGCCATTTTTCAGGACCACCCTGTTTAGTGGCGGCGTGAATGTACGAAGAGCTTTTGCTTATTTTTTGAATGCAAAAGACGATGAGATCGGTTAAGCTAAAGAATTGTATATGACAGAGTAGACATTAAGGTATTACATAGGTTGAAATTGGACTTGATATGTATTAAAATAAATTTGTCGCAAGCACAAATTACACATCAAAAGCCAATGGATGGGCTTTGTGCAGCGCCTGACCGGGGGAATTCTCGCCTACGTGCATTCTTTCCTCGACGACAGAGCTTTGGCAATGCCAAAACACAGTTCATCCTGGAAATGCAAAAACAACAGGTAATCCCAAGCCGATAAACGACATCAGTAAAACTTTAAACCCACACTTCACTCAAATCTACCCAACTTTAACGAAGTTTATAGAAGAACCGGCGCCACTGCTGCTTTCACACCACAGTCTAATCCTTGGGCCGCTTCAGGTTTTCTTTAAACTCGCGGATGGCAAGCACAAAGCAATGCAAAGACAGGCAGCGGCACTGCGAAAATGTCTCAGAGAGACTGTTCTACAATGTGACAAACTTGTGACATCATCTGCTTGGCTCTACTTCATCGTTTGCTAATAAAATATCTACCTAAGCTGCATTCAAAGGTGGCATTCGTGTGTCTACCCCACATCTACAAAGTGAAACAATTCAGATACATAATGTCGAATCCCCATACAGACACAGCAGCTACAAATACTGGGCTACTATACAATACAAAGCTGCCATATTGTCCTGCGTAATCCTGTACCCACCAATAGTGCTCTGCATTTCGTTTAAATCGCACAGGTCATGCTTTCTTCCCTTTCTTTTTGTTGCGGGATGCACAGAGACCTGAAAGCACCCTTTTGTAATAACGTCCAGCAAAAAATTGCAGGTTTTTTTTTTTTTTTTTTTGAATGGCTGAGGACTGCCCTATTCAGAACACCCTGGCAAATGGCTGCCAGCCGACTGTTCCGGCGACGGGTGCAGCGAGATGAAATTCATTTGCATACAGTAAAGCTTGTTCAGTGGCTGTCGAGACATTTTCTGGAGCTTTGCGAATTGCGAAACTTCGGGTGTGAAGCGAATTTGAAGTGCAAGTGCTAATCGAATAAAATATTTGTCTAATATTTCTAGAATATTTGTTAAAAACTTCGAAACGAAACTGCAGAAAAAAAAGGGGGGGGGGGGGATCCTTAAGCTTCGTCTTTGAGAGTTGAACGCGATGGGGATATCCTATCCCAAGCGCGCACTTTAAAAACTTAGAGCATGAAATCATTTAAAACATGCTACACTGCCACTACGGGGCCGTTAAAGGCACAGGCGCAATAACGCATGCGCCCCTGTAATGGGTGACCAGCTTTAAACCAGGAAGTTTAAATCATTATTATAATTCCATGCTCGTACACCCAATGGCAGTGAATGCTTGTACTAAGCATCTAGGCCAACAAAGTGCCGGCCGGCAAAGTAGCCACTTCGCTTAGTCATGTGTTACTGCAGTGGCAATGCTTGGAGCTAGTGCGGCTGCAATGCCTCTCCACAGCGGATCACATCCGGTCACAGTTGCACCCTGGCTCCTTAAGGTCATTGCGACGTGATGAATGACCTTGAGAACAGTGGAGTTGCAGCACTTCCGCTTGATTAACACTAAACTCACTTTGATCCCAACAATCTTTACAGCTTCCCTGCAAGCGTAGCAGACTGATGAACGCCCTCACCATGGCCCAGTGGCCAGCTCCGTACTTCTGCACCAGCTGCAGCAGCGTGCAGTCTTCATCCGAAGTGAACGGCCCCGAGACAAACCGCTGGGCAAAGTTGTCCATGTAGCGATCCCTGCACTGGCCGTGTGTACGACCGGGCACCATGCTTGCCACCTGAAAGGTGGCCAGGACACTGGTTAATTAAGAGTGCACTTCAGAACGGTGAACTGATGGGCTTCGATAGAGCGTAACCGTGTGTTCACGATGGTCAAAACTCCAAAGGATGCCACGATTTTGTGCGAATTATCAGAGAACTCATAGATATGCCTAGAAGAAACATAGAAACTCGTGTAGCATTTGTTGTTTTTTCTTTCTCAAGGTTACAGCAATGTCGCAATCAGCTCTGAATGATTACATGTAAATGTTTTATACATTAGGGGTCGCAGTAGTACTTATTATTATGCAGCACTTGCACTCGTGAATAATTAAAGACAAAAGACCTGCTGTGTCCCACAACAGTTTGTTGCTCCTAACCAGAGAGCTTTTTTGCATTACGCATGTGTACAGTGGCAAGAGCGACTTATAACAGTGTTCAGTAAGCAATACACTAAAAACAAACTTCCTTTTTTCAGTGCGGCTGTTCCAGAGCTTGGCTGAGCGATTAGCCTCAAACTCGAGACTTAGCTGCAGTTTGGCACAATATCCATTATTGCTATAAAAGAGGGCACAATAAATCTCATTTAGCGCAGGAGTGGAATCGCCAGTATCGTTGAGATTCTACAGTACACACAGGGCAAGCGAACCGGCAGTGCCCACCGGTCCACAGCAAAATTAAGGGAAACAAGCGGCTAACCTTGGACCAGCTAACGTCCCCGTACAGCTTCACAGCGACGAGCAGCATGACATCTTCCTGCGCTGACCAGCGGCCCCGCTGCATGTTCGGATGCAGGGACCGGTGGTAGCGGTTTATCAGCTGCTTCTTAGACCGGGAGTCCATATAGTGAGACACCTGCAAGAGCGAGTGTGTGAAAACAATCGAGGCTTGCGCTATTGAAACAGCAGCCGAGGCTGCGGCTGCCGACAAAAAATGGAGCCGAAAGAGCAGTCCAACACCACCAAACGTGGCAGACACGGCAGTGGGACCGCTATTTGACCCCTTGACGCAGACCTCAAAGCAGGCACAAGCAAGTGATTCGGCCCACTTAAAAAGCATGATTTTACCAGTGTCAAAAATACATCTGCGCACTGTGCAGTCCGAACTGGCACATGGACAAGGCCAGCTCGTCAACAGGACTACACTCAATCAATCAATTAATCAATAAGGATTTATTTTCAGCTTCAAAGGCAATCAATCGATGGAGCTTGGTGGGTAAAGACAAAAAAGCCTTAGATCAAGCTTGACAGGGTTCGTAACCACGGGCTTGGCAAACGTGGCATAGGGAGTACAGTCAACTGCAGATTTTTCGGACCCTCTAAGCAGTGAAAAACTGTCCGAAAATTCGGGCAGCCCGAAAAAAAAATGAATGCAAGTAAAAAAACACATTATTTTACTGATAATTTTCAATGCAAAAAAAAAATGCACCATTTCACTATTATTTCTCAATGCAAGCAAAAAACGCACCATTTCATTGATACTTCACGGATCAAGAGGGTCAAGGTCGAAGTATTCCGGAACTCTGCCGAAGCATCAGTGGGGTGGCTTTGAAAAAAGCTGTTAAAGAAAAATGCATGCAGCCGACAGCGGGTGCCGTCAGAGCAGCCGGTGTTAGAGCTGCAGTGGCTTGAAAAACTTGTTGATCCTTGTTTGAACGGCGTTCCGCTTGCATGCGATCACATTCGCCTCGATCTGAGCAAGGGTCATGTAATCACCGTACACCGATGACAGCGTCATCAATGCTCGCATCAATTCGGCGGTCGTAGGTGGCGCAGGCGTTGGTTCCTCATTTTCGACATCGGAGTCGTCTGAATCGGCCATAACCTGACTGACTATTTCGTCGTTGGTTAGCTCTGCGCAGAAGTCGAGCTCGTCAGCGTCGACAAACCACTCAAAAGTTATTTCCGTGGGCATGGAAGCACCAGCAGGGTGGAGATCGTTGATAATATCGTCCATGAGGGGGCACAAGTCAGTCACGCTGCCGCTTTCTTCAGGCAAGTCTGCAGCCTCTGTGTCAAATATGAAGCCCGTGTGCGAAAGCAGTTGCGAAGTGTGTCTTGCGTTACTGCCTTCCATGTGTCCGCAAGCATTTCGACAGCAGACCGAAGGTCAATGCTGTAGCCTTTCCCACTTTTCGAGCACAGCACCACGCGGTTGAGTATACGTGAACAGTACAAAAGTTTCAGATTACGGATAATGCCTTGGTCCATCGGTTGGAGGATCGCAGTCGTGTTGGGCGGCATGAATTCCAGCTGGATAGCCTTCAAGTTATTGATGTGACCATGAGCAGCGCAGTTGTAATTGAAGAGCAGAACACGTGTGTTTTGTTGTTCAAACTTCTGTCCAACCTGTGGAGTAACTCTTGAACAACTGCTGCATTACCCATGCCTTTTTGTTGGCTTCGTATAACCCTGGCAGCATTGCACCTTTAAAATACCTCGGGCTCTTGGACTTCCCGATTACTAACAAAGGAAGTTTCTTGCTGCCAAACATGTTGTTGCCACCAAGAACGGTCAGCCATTCTTTGCTATGCTTGCCACCATGGCATGCGTAACCAGCAAAAGCGAGTGCTCTTTCCGGCAGCAGCTTGTAAAACAAGCCAGTTTCGTCGCAGTTGAAAATGTCAGCAGAGAACTGCTGCAACAAAGACTGGAGTTTTCCGCAATAACTGCACTGTCGACGGCGCCGCTCTCGCCACACTTCTTCTTCAACTTGAGGTCATTCCGATGCTTAAAATTTCTCAGCCATCCATCACTGAACTTAAAATCCGTGACGTCCATTCGAAGCGCTAGAGTTTCCACTTTTTGTTTCAAGATGCAGCTCCGAGACTGGCAACCGCTTGGCAATCATTGAATTAAGCCACACGACGAGAGCGTCCTCAAGCTTTGGATGAACACCTTGGCTTGCATTCATCTTTTGGGCACCAGACGGTTTTTCGGCCGCTTCCAAGATCTTGTCTTTGTTCCTCAAAAAATCGGAAAGTGTTTGCTTGGAAATGCCGAACTCCTTGCTCACTTCAGCCTGAGATCGGCCACTCTTCGCTAACTTAATAATGGCGGCTTTCTTCTCCATCGTTAACCGACGGTACTGTTTTCCGCGCTTCGATGCCATCGGCGAGGACGACGAAGGCAGGAGTGGGAGCCATCGCAGGCAAGCGAAATCCTCACGATGTGAACAAAGGAGTTTGCTGACGAGCGTCGAAGCACCTAGGCTTAGCATTGCAGAGCACACCTCACACAGTTGCACAATCACGTGCTAGGCTAGCCAAACACCATGTGGACTGCGTAAACAAAACGGCGCGACGGTGCCTCTGGTACTCTGGAGGTGGCGCTGGTAAACATTCAAGATAGCCAGCGTGGCCAGACCAAATCGGTGTGTGACGGTTAGTTCTAGTTCGAAGTGGTGAAATGCTTCGTGAAAGCGCTGCATGGGAAGCCAGAGTGGCACGCACGAGCACAAGCGCTAAAGCAAAAGGAATTTTATTGGCGCCAAAAATTTCCGGGTGGACAGTTTCGATTGTCAGCGAAGCACCCTTGCATGATAAACACGGCCAGTGTTAGGAATCTCTGAGGCCGTGTATGTTTCTCCGCTAACGATCAACAGGTCCAAGCACCAGATGCCGCCACAGTAGACCGGCGCGCTCATTTGTGCGATCGTAATCGTGTGTGACGCAGTTGTGGTGGTTTCTACCGGAGGTCAGTAATGGTTTCCGACCTTCCGTCACATCAAAAAATCTGGAAAATTGGACTCCGGGGGGTTCGAGTGTCCGAAATTTCAGACTTCCTTATAAATTGATTCCATGGGGCTCGTGGCGGTGCCGCGAAGATGTCCGAATTATCGGGCATGTCTGAAAATTCAGGTGTTTGAAAAATCGGCAGTTGACTGTATACACTAAGGCAAAAAACGGGTACATGGCAGTTCTCTTCACTGGAACAACATAAATCAGCTAATAAAAAAAAATGTACACACAAAAAAACAAATAATCTAATAAAATGCACATGGCAGTTCTCTTCACTGGAACAACATAAATGAGCTAAGAAAACTGAAAAATGTACACACAAAAAACATAAACGATCTAATACAATGCACATGGCAGTTATCTTCACTGGAACAACATAAACGCGCTAATAAAACTGAGCAATGTACACACAAAAAAAAAAAAAACAAATGAGCCAATAAAGCGCGCATGGCAGTTCTCTCCATTGGAACAACATGAAGCTGTATTAGAACAGTTGCATACTACAAATAAAAAAAAAGTTTGTTATACGGTAATACCTCATTAATTGGAACTCAGTTATTTCAAAATTCCACGTGTTTCGAAACACTTCAGTGGTCCCGTACTTCTCAATCTAAATGTGAGCGGATAACTTGAAGTGGCGGTCAGGACCAGTCTGGTTAATTTGAAAACTTTGGGTGCCATGTGCCCATTCCCGATTTCGCTGCAAATCCCCGGAAAGGACGGCCCTTAAGAACGACAAGGAAATGCAACGTAGCAATACATATGAGTGGCAGCTGAAGCGTCCCAGCTTCGCTACTTCCAGCTCAAAAAAAAAAGGAAGGAAAAAAAAGACAGTCGCGTGGTCAACCGAAATGTGCGCTTGCGGAAAACAACACGTGCTTCACCATAGCACAGCAGTGACGCGCGGGCAGCTTATTGCATGTTTCTAGCAACGTCAGCACATCATGATTTACTCCTTCTTTCTGTGTTTGTAACGAAATTAATTAGATACAGTTTGGTGGGATTCGTGGTGTATGAGAATCTTCGATGGCTGGTTGCTCCAGCAATTCGTGCACTTGCACTGCAGGCCGAGTTCTTGCTTTCAACGCGTGGTTCGAAAACTAAATTAGGAAGCTTCGAAGATCATGTTTCCTGGCCAAAACACATAGCAAATTCTGCCGCACTGGCCATTTATTAAATTCTTTATTGCACCAGAAACAATGAGCGAATGGTAGCATGATGACAGGCTGACGCAGCGAGGAGAGCAAGTGGCATGCTGCCCATGAGTCAATTCTGTGTTGCAGTGAAGACGTCTTATTTTTCGCAGGCGTGCATTTCAATTGATCACGACAGTTTTTTTTTTTTTTTTTTTTCCTGTGGCAGCAGTGAGCTCGCCATTCCTTCGTGTTTGTGACGAAATCAAGACTTGGTATTACTGAAAAACATAAACGTGGAGCTGCAAACTAGCCGGCACAGAAAACAAGCAGGCCTGACTCATTCAAATGATTCCAAGTTCTTTGCATCCCCCTTAGTAGATGTTCTGTTAATTCGAAAACCTGCTTAATTCAAAGATTTCTCGCAGGCCCAGTGAGTTCGTATTGACGAGGTTTTACTGTGTATCTAATGATTCATTACAAAGGTTACTTTTACCCTTGTATCTAGTCCAACACTATTTGTCATTTACTTTGTTATAACCAATATTTCGTTATGTGTGTGTTCACTATATTGAGGTTTGAGAGTATACAGTTTCCTGCCCCTGTTAACAAGGGCTCAATGTTTTTGGAGTTAATTTCCCTTGAAATTTAGAGGGCATTTTTTGGAGTTTACTTTTTGAGAAAAAGTTTGGCGTTTATCGCAGTTTATTTCTGGTCATTCCCCAATGTTCTGAAATTCGGTGTTTAATTTTGCATTGGAAGTTGTTGCGATGTGGTCTTATTATTAATTATTTCTAGTGAAATTGGTGATAACCCTGCTTCTCCATTCATTCATTATTTTTTTTCCTCAGTTGCTGTATATTAAGCCTGTTAATAAAGCTGCTAATGTGCACTGCTACAAGATCGCCAACCTTAGCTGCAGCTCGACTTTTTCTTGCCGTCTCCCTCAATGTCCTGATGAGAAATGAGGGACCTATTATTTATTATTATTCTCAATACTGCTAAACATTATTCGAAATTATCTAACTATAGTATATACGAACCCACTAAGTGTATCTTAAATATCTGGAAGGTTAGAACTCTCAATTGCACATACATGCAAGCAATGATACTTCAATACAAAAGCGCACCGTTCATTTGTATTACAACACTAAACGTTTTAATAAATGGAAGCACGCTTCAAGAGGTTACTGCCACTGATTGAGGTGCGCTCCTTTCGATTGACGATTCTCAGCTGTCAAAATGCCCTTTCAACATAGAGAATGCCGTTTGAACATTGGAGTTCATCAGATAAATTCGAATTGCAAAGAATTTTACCAGCAGGTGTTTATTGAATTTTTTTTCTTACACTCAAACCGAAAACACAGACCTCTACCCATAACGGGTGAGTTGCTTCTTTCTCAGTGTTTAATCATGCTGTGTTTTTTTGTGCTGTTTCAATTGCAAATTCCATTTATTAAAACAGAAGATTATAATTATTGGGGTTTACCGTCCCAATTATGATTATGAGAGACACCGTAGTGGAGGTCTCCTGAAATTTCGACCACCTGGGTTTCCTTAAAGTACACCTAAATCTAAGCACAGGCCTCAAGCGTTTTCGCCTCGATCAAAAAGGCGACCGCCGCGGCCAGGATTTGATAGGGAAGGGTTTTCGGCGAAGGTATTCGTCAAGGCTGCTTCATCGGCAATGCCTCTGCAATTATAAAACTAGGAAGCTGCGGAACGCCAGAAAGCACCGCAACGAAGCAGCGTTTTGCGAGGCCCACCTGTGACCAGGATATGTTGTCCCCATCGGAGCAGACGGAGATGAGGCGCTTTAGTTTGTGGTTCTCCTCCTCCGTGAAGGAGCCCGTGTTGTGGCACCTCACGTGATGGCTCGTGTAGCGTTGCGCACACTGGTACGCGCTGCGGTTGGTCTTCAACTCCTGGGCAATCTGTGATGCAGAAACAGATGTGGGCTTGACATCCCAGCTAACTTCCGTATTTCTGGGGCTGGAGGGGTGCGAAGCCGAAATGAAATTTGAAGCGATTTTCGGAGCAGCAAAATGTTACTTTTGGAGCAGGTTACAAGAGAACATTCATTTTTTACCATGAAAGACCGAATTACGAGTAGCTTGAAAAAGAAGGCTTAGATTAAAAAAAAGATATATATATATGCAAGCCATTTAACAGTCCCTAAATCATGCACAGGGAATATGAGCACTGCTATTTCAACAAAGTAGTATTTTCTTTATTAACCCACTCAGAAAACAATGATGAGGTCTAGATTGGAAGTCACCATGCCTGTCAAATTGTTTGACAGAGTCTGAGAATTCAAATGTAGATCCCCCATGATGGTGACCATGAGATTTGTAAAACTGGAAAAAAAAAAAAGTGTTAGACTTTTTACAGCTGCAGAGATCTCATATTGTACTCCAAATCATTTTGCCAGTCACTTTTTTAGACATCAGCAAGCATATTAGTACTCATAATTATGTGTCATTGAACAAACTGTGCAGTGTCTAGAGACTACAACTATAGGCTCCTTCTAAATTTTAACGCTTTTCCGCAGGCCACCCATATACTATGGAAAAGGTGGCTTGAACGGTGTTCGTGCACAGGTTAGAACAAGACCAAGAAATTTTCGAACCACAACCCCCCCCCCCCCTCCATTTTTCTTTTCATGAAGGGGTTAGGTTTAGGGCACAACTTCTCGGCTTGCTTGCAAGGCGCGTTTGACCAGGTAAAGTAACAATGGCACGTGCCTGTTGGTCTGGCAACGGCACCAAATATCTATCGCATGTGGCATTGCCTATGGCAACTGACGTGGTGACGGCATTAACTAAAGCTGGAAGCGTGCAAGCTAGACGTGCTGGGAATTTGTACGCTTCTAGCTTTAGTTCCTAATGGTTCCTAACATGCCATGGCCGCACTTGCTGACTAGGAAATTCATAGTTCCCACGAAGTGTTGCCGACAACGGCAACACATTTTCGTGTTGAAGTTCCGTCGTCCCGCCGGCAAATATCTGCTGCGGTCAGCAGACCGACAGGCGCGCAGCATCGTTACTTTATCTGGTCGATCGCGTTTCACGAGTGTCTTGGCCTAACGAGCAGCTATCTGACACTGCGGTTTAGGGTTAGGGTCTGCCCGCGTAGATTGATGTCACAAAGTACAGGTAGCTGAAGTGGTCTCCATTTCTCACTCAAATTAGGGCAATTGAGAAAATTTGTAAGCTGAGCGGGCATTTTGGCACAGCGTGGCACAATTTCAGCAAACTTCATGGTTCTGACACAGCTCGGCACATAGATGAGGAATTTGATCAAATTGGCGCAATTGGCGCAGCTGTTGCACCCCTTCGATTCTAAGCACCCCCCCACCCCCACCCCCGCCCCCATTTTAACTAGAAATAGTTTAGAAAAAACGTTTGCTTGCGGATATAAGCACCCCTCCTTTTTTTTTTTTTTACTTTCTGCAAGCATGACACAGTCAGGGCCGCAGCGCACCCTCTCGTCGCTAATCTCAGAAGCCGCCATGTGATGTATGTTGCTAGGTGCAGACAAGAGGCAGCGGCACAATCCAATCCAATCTGCAAGTACAAACAGGTTAGGCTAGCTTTGCGGTGGCGTGTGGCATGTGCATGTGTCTTTCTCAGTTGTTGGATAGCCCTGACATTGGTCAGAATCGGTGCAAAGAGGGCTTCCTACAAATTGAAGTTTAAGCAAGCAGCGATCGCATTTAATGAGGACAATGGCAGACACAGTGTTGCAGTAGAATTCTGCGTGGACGGAGCCTGCATCAACAGGTGGAGGAAGCATGCAAAGGCAACGGAGGTCACGATGAGAATAGATTCTCCCGCGTGGTGTTTCTTGCTAGCCATGGCTGGGGGGAAGCACAAGATGCAGCGGAACAAATTTTCTTTGAGACATCTGACCCCAATACGCCAAAAGCTAGCAACTGATTTTGATGACACACTCGATACTTTCCAGCAACATGTGCTGGTTTTTCACAGATAAATAGCTATGATTTCGGCTCAATCGGCAATGTCAATGATTGATTGATTGATCGACTGTTGATTGATATATGTGGTTTAACATATTAAAACCACCATACGATTATGAGAGATGCCGTAGTAAAGGGCTCCGGAAATTTTGACCATCTTTGATTCTTTAACGTGCACCCGAATCTGAGTACACAGGCCTACAGCATTTTCGCCTGCATATAAAATGCAGCCGCCGCAGCCCGGATACAATCCCACAACCTGCGAATCACCAGCCGAGTACTTTAGCCACTAGGCCACCGCGGCAGGGCAGCAATGCCGATGAGACTCCTGTCTCTTTCAAAAAGCCGAGAGCATGCACCATTAATGAGGTAGGAGCCCAAGAAGTGAGATTGAAGACGACAGAATACTAGAAGCAGCGTGTCACAGCGATGCTGTGCATCACAGCTGACGAGCGCAATCTTCTACCCTACATAACTCTGAAGAAGAAAAAGAAAAACGCTCGGTCGCAATTTCAGGAGGCATGACACCAGTGCTGCAACACCTGGACGCCCCAGTGAACAAGCCGTTCAAGTCCCACCTTCGACAGGAGCATGAAAGGCGAGTTCGGAACCTCAAAAAAAAAATAACAGCAACCGGAAAGTTGCAGAAAGTGTCTCTGTCCACCGTGGCAACATGGATTTCGAACACACGGAAACGTAACAAAGTCGACGTTGTCGCGAAGTCGCTCAAGAAGTGTTGAATTACAAACAACCTGGACGGCACCAAGGATGATCTGTTGTGGGACACTGACAGTGGTGGCTTGAATGGTGCGATGGACTCAAGCGGTGCGACGGACTTGAGCGGCAGTGATAGTGACCGGCCTGCTACAAGAGTGGTGCGTTCACTGTGTGCACCTATTTTTATTAATTCTTTCAAGTTAAACGCAATTCCTCGCATCAGCCTTGTTGATATGTTGCTGCAAAAGGGGGTTGGGCTGAGCGGTCTTACGAAGCCGAGACGCCAACACGGTCCCGAAGGCGCCACTGCTCCGAACTACGCCGCCAAGGCCACCAGCAGTTTGGTAGCGTGTGTTACTCAGCTCACGACTGCTTCTGCGCAGAGCTGATAGACGTGCGGACGAGACGACGGTGGGTTAAGGCAAGGTTTATGCACAGCATAAAAATAGAGGTTTTAAATTTGGCACTGGGGCCGACAACTTAGGGACTCGAAGAGCCGAGATGCCTTCTCTCGCATGCATCCGTCGGCTTCTCTCTCTGTTACAAAGTGCACCGCCGACGAGGTTACGAAGGGTGCCACGAAACTCGCCGCTGCAAAGGACACCGGGCGCACCGATTGCGAAAGGGGCTCAACGCAACGAGAGGCTCCTTTGACACATAGGTCTACTGCCAGCGACGCGCCACAGGGCTTTTTTATAGGCACCGGGTGGATCCTTTGAGTCACCAAACGTCCAACCAGAAGCGCCGCTGGCCGTGATGTCAGAATCCGCCAATGGGGCCCGCCGCTGGGCCGCATCATGCTCATCGAATCCGGAGCCGCTGCGCATGGTTGCAGCCAAGGAAAAGGGACGTTCCCACGCATTGCATAAGACTCGCCAGACTGGAAGGCGCTGATTGCTTCAACGGGCTCGTGGGTTGAGGGAGGTCGCTGTGCGTTGCATGACAGACCGGCACCGCCGCTTGATGACGTTGTTGAGTTGCGTCAGGCGGGTTCGACCGCTGGCCTTGACACAGATTGCCTTTGCAGAGGCATTGACGTTCGATGTGGACTCGCAGACGTAACAGCGTTAATGTTTCAAATGTAAGCACCCCCCTTCACTTTGAATATCCCGATTGTGAAAAAAAGAGGATACTTATAATTGAGTAAATAAGGTAGCCATCAAGTGCAAACACACAAACCATTCCTGCGAAACAGGGCAAATGAAAGTGTGCTAAATCACTAATAGCCTTTTCGGTCAATGTTCAAATTTATAGGACTCTGTAAACTATTAAGTCTTGGGGCTTTACTTGCTGAAAACTATGGTATGATCGTGAGATGTGCCACAGTATCCTGTAACTCCGGATGACTAATTTTAACAACTTGGGATCCTTTAATGTGCACCTCAATATAAAAACACAGGCCTTCTCTCATTTTACACCCATTAAATTGGCCGTTGGTTATCTGCCATTGGTCAAAAACCACAGCCCAGAAATTTTCACCAATGGAATACAGCTAATGAAGGCATAAGAAAGTCGAAGTATCGTAATAGAATTACGCCACCATCGTTAAGCGATTCTCTTTTGATTTTATAAAACTGATGCATTTACTTAATTCTAAGGTCTAAGCTGACCCTAGAGTTTGGTATACGATTACTGTTAGAAGAATAGTATCAGTCCAAATTGATTGATATGTGGAGATCATTGTCCCAAAACCACAATATCACTATGAGAGACGCCCTAGTGGAGGGCTCCGGAAATTTTGACCACCTGAGGTTCTTTAAGGGGGGAGGCTACCATGGATACCAACTTTTTTGTTTATTGAGATATCTTAATGAAATTTTCAGGAATAAACTTATAGCAAAAGCATTAGAAGAACTCCAAAATTTCATCAAGTTATGCTCACTGGTTTTCAAGTTACAGCAGAATATCAGGGTAGTGCACATGGTTCTCTTATTCCAGGCCTGGAGAACTTTCAAAAGGTGCTGGAACTGTGAAATTAACTATGATGATTCCCAGATTGATACTCCAGGGGGTAACAGAGCCCTTTTTTTTTAATTTCCTTGCTGAAAAGTTTTAGCAGACCATCAAACTTTGTGTTCGTGATTAGGATATTACCAATCAAATTTTGATTAAATATAATAAATAACACACACAATATATTGAGAAAATGGGCTTGTCACCCCCTCAGAAATTTATTCATGTACATAATAAAAAAAGACTTATGGAAATCCAATGAGTGGTTCCAGAGATATGGCTGGAATAAGCAGCCTCACTAGCCAAAAAAGTCATTTTGAGAAAACGACATTTGAAAGTTTTGAGCACATAGGCAGTTCTAAAATGAACCTGCAGCGTAACTGGAGGTGTCCTTTGGCACTCTCTTTCTTTGCCGCCTTTCCATCTTCTCTAGGGATCGCTTCTTAGCCTTTTTCAAGCGCAGAGAATCTTTCTCGGCTGCCCGTTGAATGGCCAGGTGGCCAGGTGTTAGCCCCACTGATGAAGCTAGCTCTTGGGTGGCCCTGTAGCAGCGGAGCAGGAGTCCGGCGGAGCAGGAGTCCCGTTGCTAGGCGCGTCGATGCGACCACTCTCTTGCGTAGATGAAGCAGAAGCTGCCCCACAGGTACCGTTGGCGCGATCACCGTCGGCGCACGTGCGAGCGGAGAGCCTCGCCGCGCGGACAAGCTTCATAGCTCGCTTCCTTGCACCGAATGATTGTAGCGTCTTCTTTTTCGTTGGGCGCATCGTGAGCGAACACAACAACGGTCCCGTATAGACGGTTGAAAATCGTCTCGTAAAGACGGTTGAAAGTCGTTTCGAAGACAGTTGAAACGTGGAGAGTATGCGAACGGCTGCAACGATACACGGAAGCGAGCAGAACACAAAGACGCCGGACGGAGGAGCAGCAGACGAGCGGCCGCATCGGCCGCATTATGCGCAAGAGCACTACGTCATCGCGCGCAGCAGCCAATGGCAGTCGCAGGCTCCCCCGCGTCCTCGGGGAGCGCGCGCTTCGCCCAATCCCAGCTGCGCGCCTCAGCCACGGGAAACTTGAAAGCTCTCGCGAGCCCTCCAATCATGAGCGGCTTGCTCCTCTCCTGCGCTGGCGGCAGCGACGCAGGTGGCGGGGAAAGAAAGAGCAAGAATTCACAAACAAAACAACACCAAAATGGCGGCGCTCCGTCGAGCGGTCGAGAAACTGCGATCACGCCAAGTTGGGGTATTTTGAGCGCTCGCGCGCCGCTCGAGGGCTGCCGCGGCATGTTCTAAACTTTATTTCAAAAGGTTTCGCGACGAATTAGACGTTGATATTTACAGAAAAGGTAGTTTATGACACATACTGCCCGAATATGTGGTTTGCCAAAAATCGACTTTTTCGCGATTTTTCGGTTTTCAAAGGCCGCGTCCCCCCTTAACGTGCCCCCAAATCTGAGCACACGGACCTGCAGCATTTTCGCCTCCATCCAAAATGCAGCCGCCACAGTTGGGATTCGATCCCGCAACCTGCGAGTCGGCAGCCGAGTGCCTTAGACCAACGCGGCGGGTGGTATCAGTCCAGACTTAAAGTAACACGGTAATAACTATGACGCAGCAACTACAAGGACGACTCAAGATGTGAGCAATGTCACTGCACAATAACGGCCCATACAGTGCAGCGCACTACCACACCCGGTGCAGTCAGCGGATGCAAGCACACTTCGACGAGCCCGTGAAAAAGATGGCTCTTACCATATGCAGGCTTGGGTCACAAATTCCCAATGCATTGTGCACAGAACAAGCTCTGAAGAAAAAACAATAATGTGCAAACACCTTTTTTCCGGTTTCATAAATGGCCGAAACCTGGTGCATGGGTCAGGAATCACTCTGGGGCAGGTACCAAGGAAAGCAGCCAGTGGTGCGGTTACTGAACTGCGGGTGACAGTAGTTCAGTAGCCACGACAAAGAGTGGCTGAACACCGCACTCCAAACTGTCCGACGGCAAACGCATCTTAACAATGGGGTCGTCTTCATCTTATCTCACTATATATACACTAGGAGGAACTCTGGCGCTAGTGTCTATGGAAGCTGCAATGCAGGGTGTTTCAGCAAGCATGCGAATGACGGGTAGTACATGGATTTGCCTACTCTTTGTACTTTCAGTTTCATTCAGTTTCACGTGGCTTGGAGGTGCTTTATCACGAATTGACAATCAGCGAATGTTGAGCCATCCCTTCTCACCACTGCAACCTTTTAGGCTCACTAATTCAAATCGGGTCATGAAGTTCAAAACCAGTTAATTCTTTTATTGAAAAAAAAAAACAAAACACAAAATTAAACTAAGCCACAAGTGCATTCAAAGCCCGCAAGCACAAAGACTAGGCAAATCTGTGTACTACCCATCATTTCCACAAAAACTGAACGATTGCAGCACCAGAGTCCCCTCTGGTTAACTTTGGAAAACTATGATCTCAGTGACCGAGTTGCCCAATGAATTTCTTTTCAAGAAATTTCTCAACAAGCCACGAAAACACCCCTCTGAGCAACAACAAAACAAGGCACACTTGTTGCCCCCATTGTCAACTCGATGGCTTCATTGAAAACGCGCAGGTCCCCTCACCTGGTCCCAGTTGCGCCCTTTCCACTTGGCGGCCACGGTTGCCAGGCGCTCGTCCTCCTCGGGCGTCCAGGGGCCCTGGTTCAGGCGCACGTCCAGAAGGTTGCGCCACCTCGCCTCGCAGTCGAATGCTGTCCGGTTCGTCCGCATGTCGACAGCTGCAATGCGCAGCCAGTCAATGGGGCGCGTAGCCTGCTCCAGCAGCTCTTCCAGGCTCAGATCGCGAGTCTTGGCCATCTGCGAACGAGCGAACGGAATTCAAAGCTTGCAGGTTCGATCCCTGCCAGAGGCAAGTCGTCTTTCTGCCCGTCACATCTGGATCACCATTACTACAGTACACTTATAACAGCAGAATTATGAAAAAGCCAACCAAAATTAGGATTGTGTTTATTTTACAACTTTAAATAGCAACCAATAAATGATTCTGCAGTTAAATTATCTAAAATGCAAGTTTAATGCATACCTTTGTATATGTCACAAATTCTCCATATGCCGCAAAAAAAAGGAGACGTTGGAACAAAAAACGTACCTAGTAACTACAGTCGAAACCGGGTATATCGAACTCGCCAAAAAACGTTTATTAGTTCGACATATGGTATAATTCGATATAGGCCCAGTATAGGTTTTGACACAAAGGCACATAACAAACTAGAAGAAAAGTACTTTATTAATATGGTGGCTTACTTGCGTGCCCTACTGTGGAACAAAATAGTCCCGGATTTTTTTCTGTGTCAACGACTTCGCTGCCTGCGGCAGCACGCACGCCTCCACGTTGTCCAACGAGTCGGAGCAGCTGAGGCCGCCACCTTCCACATTCAAGCAATAGCTCCGGACCAACGCAAGTGCACTGTTCGCTTCGGAGGATGTAGGCAATGGGCCATCGTCGATTTCCATATTGCTGTCCCTTTGGCTCGTGGTCGGCACGACGTCTGCAATGTAATCCTCATTCCGTAATTGGCCCATGATGGGGACATCATCGTCCACACTGACGAACTCGTCGAATGTCCATTCGTCGATAGCACCCGAGAACTGTGCTAGCTCGTTCCAAACTTCGGCGGAAACACCTGCGGTGTCTTCAGTGCTGTCAGAATTTGGGGTGTCATCACCAGGCATGCGGAAGCCGGCATGCCTAAAGCAGTTCTGAATCGTCTCCTTCTTGACATCTGCCCACGATCTACTCAACATAGAAATAGCTCCGAGCAAGTCGATCTTAAGCTCCCTGCCGACACGAAGGTTCTGCAGCAGCCTCTCCACCAGGCGCTTCCAATAGCCGGCTTTCATTGCGCGTATAACACCTTGATCCAGTGGTTGCAGTACAGACGTAGTGTTCGGGGGCAAAAAATGCAGCTCGATGTTGCTGAAGGTCGTACTGCAGTGGTGCGATGAACAATTGTCCACGAGCAGGCACACCTTGCGATTTTCGCCTACCAAATCATCCTTCCATGACGATAGCCAACTGCTGAAAAGCTCCCCGGTCATCCACGCTTTTGAGTTTGCTCGCTAGGTAACTGGAAGCGACAGCGCATTTCGAAAACACCGCTGTGCCGTGCTTTTCCCCGATAACCAAAGGTCGAAGCTTTTTCGATCCATCTAAATTAGCTGCCAACAGCACGGACACACGAGCTTTGTTTGCCTTGCTGCCGCTTGTCTTGTCACCACGACACGCATCTGCCTTGTTTGGCAACATTTGCCAAAATAGAGCGGTTTCATCCACATTGAAGATATCTTGGGCTCTACATCTTGCTGCGATATCTGGCCAGTTTTCCTCGAGCCATTTTTCTACGCTGTCCAGGTCCGTCGCTCTGCTTTCACCTGTAACAGCTTTGCCAACGATGTCGTGCCGTTCTTTGAAACCGCTGAAGCAGCCTGAACCGTCTTGGAAATCATTCCTGCCAAGCAGAAAAGCAAGGTCCTTGGCTTCCTGCTCGATCATAGGGCTGGACACCGGCATGTTTCGCGATCGAACGTCCACAGACCACTTGTAAACGGCCGCTTCAACATCTTCGTACACAGCAGCGTGCACACGTCAGGCGCCACGGGCACCTGGCCTTTTGTCCGACTTGGCCCCGATGTCTGCGTTGTTCTTCAGGATAGTACTCAAAGTGCTCCTTAGAATTTTGTACGCGGTGGCGACGTCGGACTTCTTTTCATCGCGCTCAACCCGATTGATGATTTCGAGTTTCGCGGCGAACGGCAAATTTTGCCTCTTTGCGCAAGCCATAATGACAGCGCGCCAATACAGTTCACAAAGAACCAACAGGCAACACCACAGACCATGCTGAATCGGCAGTAGCAGGCACACAAGCATAAAGAAAGAAACAATGGCGTTCACTTCTACCACCTTCGCACCTCGGAGAAAGCACGATGGCCTCTGATTGGCTGTAAGCGCTGCGAGCAGGCCAGGATCATTTCTTGGAGGGGGGTGTTCGCCCGCGCACATCCGGGTCTAACCAACTTTTTCTAGGGTGGCGCCGGAAGTTTTCCACACCACCGCGAAGGGAAAGCCAACTTGCTGGGGCACTTCTGAGACACATGGAGTTTGATATATCAGTTGTCGTTGCTATTTTCGTTCGATAAAACAGTAACTTTTGCTGTATACTCTCAATGTAAACTTACCCTGTTTAGGAATTGTTCGATATATGGGATAACTTGATATAAACGGGTTCGATATAGTCGCGCTCGACTGTACGTATCATGTCGTGCGGTGCATCTTGGGTATGCACAAATCAAAGAAACAAAATCATTGATGATAAAAAGCAAGAGTTGAAGATAGAAATTAAGAGTTGTTATACATGCTTCGCATTCTCTTCTATCAGCTACAAAAGAATTGGTCCTAGCATAGAATACGTTCCACTGGACGGTGCTGAAATTTTCATGCTGAAAGCCATCTTCCTTGTGAGTGCTTGACAGTGGGCATTAAAGGCCACATACAGTTCGTAACTTGCTTGCTCGAACCTTTTCAATATGTCACGAATTCGCGACACGCGGCAGTAAAGGGTAATTTTCGTTGGCTTCGTTAAGGCTGCTTGCCTTTTCTGCCCCCCAGTACTCCTCTGGGCACTATAAAACACTGTTATGCTGATCGTGAAATTACAGATTAGTTTTAATAAACAATACCAAAGTTGGTGTGACATATTAAAACCAAAATGTGATAACAAGGGGTACCGCAGCGGACGGTTCTAGAAATTTTGAACAACTAGGGTTATTAACGTGCACTTAAATCTGAGTGCCCTAGCCTTGTACATTTTAAGTCTATCGAAAATGTGGGGGACTACACTTAGATTCAGAAGCATGTTAACGAGAGATGCTAACAAAAAAAAATGCCAGTTTTTGATAAACTACGTTGCTTTTACTTGCTTTCACAAATTGATTTTCTTAAAGCAGTAAAAAAAGCCGACCTAATTACACTCAAAGTAGGTTGAAATCCGTTTTTAAGAACACAAGGTGGCTATCGAAAATTGAAAGGAGCTCATTGTCTAGAATCATCGAGAAGTTGTCACCAAACTCTCATGATGAAGAAGTAATTTTAAAACGCATATTTTTGCCGCATAGATGAGCTTTCATTTCTACGTTTCAAATACATTTTTATCCAAGTGCAATTTTGGGCAACATTTTAGTTTAGTAGCTGGCACTATAACTACACTGTTTGTATGAAACATTTTGGGAAAAGTTTAGAAAAATATATTTGCTAACAACATTGCCACAATGCCTCAAACTATTCCAAGGCAGATTTCTAGATCCTCGACACACTTTCGCCAACAGCTTTTTTCACAATTCGAAGGCTATCTGGTAGGCAAATTTCAGAGGGTCCTTATATAGAGCACGCATACAAGCTTCTTCAACAGCACTTGGGTTACCATATGGTGATGTACTTGGAGGCAGGTTTTCACTTTTGGGAATAGGTAATAGTTTTCTGGAGTAAAGCAAGAGGTTGGTAAATTGCCTGTATGCCAGTTATCGCCAGGCAGTTGGGCGTTGTCAGGCCAGCGCTAAACTTGTGCCGCGCTCCAGTTCAATTGTATGCTGCATTCTGCTCCTGTATCAGGTCACTAAGCAGAGATCCAATAAAAACTCTTACAAGTGATTGACACTTTGTGTCTCTGAAAGGCCATATCCCCCCAACAGTGCACACCCAGTGAGAGTATGCTGCAACATACCATAAGAACCCGCATATAGTCCAGACCCATCTATAGTCCTGATCCGGATATACAGTAAAACCTGCCTATAACGAACCTCCATATAATGAATTTTTTGATATAACGAAGTTTTTCTATTCCCTGCCGTTACTCCATTGAAGCACATGAATTTTCTCCCTCTACGTAACAAAGTAACAGTGGGAGACATCCTTGATATAACGAATTTTCGCCACGAACAATCTAGGAATCTTGCCCCGATTTTCGCCATTTAGGCACGAACATGCGTCTTCCGCAGTTGCCCCCGCCAATGAAGCGCGTAGTGGCGGCGGTGCACTCATGGCCCCGACAACTCCCATGCTGGCTACGGCTCAAGGCAGGCCTGTGCCCCACGAGCCATTCTAGCCGCCGCAGACGAATGTGCCCACCCCTCCCTCCAAACGAAAAGAAAGAAAAAGTAGTTTGCGATGGCAGTGCCACGGTTTCAGTTAGCCTCCCGTACGTGGGGCTGCACTGCATATGGAGGGCACTTTACCGAGTAGTTTTCCGCTGTATCCGTGTCATTCGCTCTTCGTTTTCAACATCATGTGCCCGCAGCCCCGACGATGCTCAGCTTCGTGGTTTTTGTGGCTTGTTTGTTTTTTAATGTGGACAACCATGTCGTCTCCACCAAGGAGATGTAAGATTAGGCACTGATGGAAACTGACACCACGGTGACAAAGACAGATCTTCGATAGCTGACTCTCCACGCGCTTCTATCTTGCGCCGTGCCACGGGTTTGGATGCTTTGGCGATCAGCTCTGGAACAACATGGTGGCGCCTTAAATGCGATATCAACAAATCGTAATGCTATACAAGATAGGCAGACAACTCTCGTGGGTCCAATATCGCGAAACTCCTACACAACTTTGTTGTAAGCAAGTACGACCGCTCCAGGGACGAGTGTTATTTTCACACACTCTCTTCGAGTTAAAGCGCACTGACGCTTGCCAAGATAGCACGAGCACCAGCGGTCCGATTGCACACTTAACATCAAAGTTCACCATTGCTACTCAACCTCGTGCAGCGATTTTTCACGCTTGTTGAAGACTGGTGGTTTCCTTTCTGTTTGAGAAATCGACGGCAGCCTGAACATGCGAGGGATGTTATTGTATGCAGCTTCCAGGCAATAGAGAAGAGCCGACTCACTTGATCCCTTTACTGCACCTTGTTGCATTTACGAACATACCAATAAACAGCCATAAAAACGAAAGCTACTTTCATTAGGTCCCTTCTATGCATGCTGTTGCATTTCTGCAACACCAGTTTGAAAAACGCGCCGTCTTGTGCTGCCCCCTGTGCTCATCCTGCTCAACTATAGCCAAACAAACATGGTGGACGCTGCCCGCGCCAGCACGGAGCTACACAGGTAAGATTTGCAAGTTATAAATGTTTGTCTGGACGGATTCAACCGCAGAAAGAGCTGTTAAGCCCTTCGGCACATCCTCCTAATCGTGTAGATTGCAAAAAACGTTATGTTTACGGAATGGTGTGTTTCTTGCGACAAAAAGTTGCTAGTATGTTGCATATGTGCAACAACGTGCTCATCATGTTTGTTTTTTTCTCTCAAACTAGAAATGGATCCTAAACGTTTTTATGGCCGAGCAATCCCTTCTGATAGTGAAGACAGCGAACTTTCTGGTAGTGACGACGATCCAGAGTGTAAGTGTTTTCGATTCATCGTGTGTGCAGTGTGTTGCATGGTGGAATTCGGGAATTTTTTTATAATTGTGTGTGCATACGCCCGCGGCTGCCCCGCATCGTTACGGCTGCACCCATATGTCTGCGCTCCTGCGTTTTAAATTTTTGTCTATAACGCGAAGACACCGCGCCTAGGGGTTTTGTCGGATTTAAAAATACAGATGCACACTGTTTTCTATACGTGCATTTCACTTTATTTTACCACTAATTTTAGGTCTTGCATATCGCTGTCTGTTTCCACTACAGATATCGCACCTGACTGCGGAAGCCTAAATGACAGCACAAACGAGTCGAGTGCATGCTCCGACGAGGACGAAGCTACACCAAATGGGGGAACATCTGATTACCACCCCACACAAGCTAAAAGACGCATGATTTGGAAGAAGGCAAATCTAATAAGAGATCCACAGACAGTTCAGTTCTCCGGGCAAAGTGAACTCCCCGAGTTCATTGCAGAACTGGAGACACCATTCCAATACTTCAAGTTTCTCTTCCCTGGCTCGCTGATTTCACTTGTTGAAGACTGGTGGTTTCCTTTCTGTTTGAGCAATCGACGGCAGCCTGAACATGCGAGGGATGTTATTGTATGCAGCTTCCAGGCGATAGAGAAGAGCCGACTCACTTGATCTCTGATTCAGCAGCCCTCGCACACTTTTACCCACTCATAAAAGTTACGATGCATGGGGGCATGTTATTAATTTGTTACGAAACATGGCAGCGGCAGCAAACCTCCCCCATCTCTCACCAAGAGTGTACACATGATTGCTATCAAAAGAACGCATTTTTTACTGCCCAATAAGTGTTCTAGGTTAGCTCTGCCTTCAGTTTCCCTTTCTTTTTAAATTTGTGCATTTATTTTTCAAATTTTCATACCAAACCTGCACACAACGAAATCTTCTTTACAGCAAATTTTTCCAGGTATTTGTCAATTTCAATATATCCTCACTCCACTGTAGTCTGAGGATAGAAAACACAAGAGAAAAGCTTTCACAGTAATATAGCAACACAGGAACTAAAAAAAATTTATCCACACAGTTATTCATCATCGTCTAACGCACTTTATTCCGAAACTCCCTAGTCCGATATGTCTTCCCACAGCTCCTCACCTTCACAACCATCAAAAGTGTTTGCAACCAAGCACTCCTGGACGGCACAACGAACGAGCGCCTCGGGAGTCGATGTTTTAGAGGTTCACGTGCACTGCATCGCTCAGGGAGCCCTACTTCAGCCTTGTGGCAAGGGTAGCTTCCGGACCTCCTGATTGCATCTACTCCGCATACAGTGCTTGAAACGGTCCTTGACTGTTTTATTTAGGCACACATCACACGGCGCTTATAATTTGTCCTTCGAAGGCAATGACAAGCTAGGCATGCGAGAGTCGTGCAGCAGCCGCTTTTTAGAGGTGACAACGAAACGCCCCAAGCACGAGTATTGATGGGAGCTCAGGCAGTGCTCCATTGCCATTGAACAAAGCCTGTCAAAGCCCGTTCAACGTCGCACAACGCTCCAGTTTTCGAGCCCGGAAACTTCTCGAACAGCAGCACACAAAGAGAGCTTCCTTTCATTTCCCCCCAACCACGAATACTTCGCCTGTCTACTAAACTTCCTATTCACTGCACAGTTGCCAATGGTTCTGGCCTAATGATAATGACAGAGCCATGCAATGCCAAAACTGAAACTAAATTCTCAGCTGAAAATTCTTGAGAATGGGCACAGCCCGGGGCCGATGTTAGACAGAATGGAAGCTAGGAAAACACCTCGGACTATACGCGAGTTTTTACTTGCACGGTAACACCAGGACAAAATTGTACCAGGTATTTTTTATCAAAACATTGTACAGTCAAACCCATTTATAAGGGGTAGCAATTCTTGTCTTTTATATAAGATGTCTCTTCTGAGCATGGTACCTCGTATGCGTTTTCATATCGACCCGTAATTTACTGTAGGAACACTGGTGTCTCTTATACCCATTTGTCTGTTATATCAGTGTCTCTAATAAAGAGGTTCGACTGCATTTGCAATGTTCAGCGTCTCGACGTAACACAACAAATTCACTTCGAAATCACAACAGGCTGTGATTAGTGCTTACCTGCTCCTCCAGCTGGTCTATGCGAGCGGTGATTTCGGCTATCTGGTCGGGATCCTCAGTCTCCAGAATCTTCTGTGCCAGGGCCTCCTTGCGGTCCATCATGGACTCGAGACTCTGCTGCAGCACGTTGCTCTTCACTGCTTCCACCTGGGAAGACAAGAACACCGCCCTTTGCTCGACACGTCCTACAGCACCTCGTGCTTCTCCAAAGAAAGTAGATTAAATTATTTTTGCTAATGGCAGCATTACTTAGTTGAGGCAGGTGCGAGCGAATCTCTATTTTCAGCTTTGAAAATCAAATTCAACGCGCATCTTTCTCTCAATAAATTGAGTCATGAAGATTGCCTGCATGTTAAAACCAAACCGAAACCGCGTTACCAACAGCCTCCCATCAGAAGAGTTAGACACAGTGTCGTCCACATCTAATGATGGCGATGCATGACTACCTCACGAGGTTGCATTGAATGCCTTCTCGCTCGACTGAGATATTGTAATCTGTTGCCTCATAAAGCGCAAATACTAGCAGCATCCCGCTGTTATGATGAACGCTGATGTCAGGTGAAAGTTATTTTGCACGGTGAAAATAGTTACATTGCACCCTTTTGCATGCTCAAGCTCGTGATTACGAGTGCCACAAACCAAGGCAGATGATCAGCTGTACATGGACCAGAAAAAGTTTCCACAGACCAAAAAACAAAAATATCGGGTTCTCAGAAATGGGCTCTTCGGCCAGCTGAAGCTACTCTATAGATAGGGCTACTCCAGGTAAAGACCCTGTGTGCGGAAGCAATCAAGGCGTCTGACAAAGTGTATAAATTGCCAGGACAATAAATTTTCTAATCCAAGACATACTGTCTAAATTTTTAATTTTAATGATCAACCGAAAGGAATGAAAGTTCATATTTTTCACTCGCGACAATATTTGGTCAACCTTCGATGCAAGTAAAGGTGGTTTTTCATTTCGGACGGATTCCGAAAGTTGCCGCAAGATGCGGGGCCAGCGCAAAACTGTGTCGTATAGCAAAGGTTTTTAATAGATTCTCTTCTTGGAGATTCTGCAGGGATCAAACCGATCCGTTGTAAAAAGTGCGTCCTTGCATAAAAGGGGGGCGTATAATCGAAGTTCCACATGTAGTGGAGCATACGCACTAACGCGTATGCGCCTTCCAAAGAGATCGAAAAACCCCGTGCTCTGATTGCGCGAGAACCTGTGCCACCTTTGCCAGACTTGCCGTATGCCCATTTTCCATCGCGACCTCGTTGCGACTGCTCTGTTTGAATAAACAACATCGCATTTGGTGGAGGCTGCTGAGATCCCTAAGCAGACCTGGAGCTCCGCTCTCGCAAGTTGGCCGAAAGACCACTGTACAACATGACTGACGCAGTCGCCAATCAGCCCATCCCAGCACAGCCAGCACCATCGGCTGCCCCGTCGACCTGCCCCGGCGCTACCCGTCAGCAGGACCCACCAATCTTAAGCTGCAGTGGTGAGCAAGACGTCGAAGACTGGCTGTACTTGTACGAACGCGGAAGTGCCAGCAACAAGTGGGACAATGACTCTAAGCTCGCCTATGTTATCTTTTACTTGGCTGACGTCGCTAAGCTATGGTTTACCAACCGCGGAACCGCCATCGCCAACTGGTCCACCTTTAAGACCCTCACGACCGAAGCGTTCGGCCGACCAGAGGTCCACAAACTCCGCGCTGACCAGCGTCTACGCCACCGAGCCCAGCAGCCTGGCGAGACTTTTAATAGTTATATTGAGGATGTTCTCGACCTCTGCAGGCATGTTAACCCATCTATGCCTGAAGAAGAGAAAATTCGACAGATTCTCAAGGGCATCGAGGATGACGCATTCCAGATGTTGCTGACGAAAAGCCCGACCACGGTGGCAGTCCTCGTAAGCCTGTGCCAGAGCTCCAATGAATTGCGTCGTCAGCGTTCCATCGCCCGACAGAGTGTCCCATCGCCAGATTCAATCTCGGCCGTCGCGCTCGCAAACGGCAACTTTTGCCAAGGAACTCTGTCGAACCAGATTAAAGACTTCATAAGGGAGGAAGTCGCCCGACAGCTCTCTCTGCTGCCACATAGCAATGCGCCCACCACAAGCCTCCCTTCAACACTGTAGCAGGCCATACGCACTGAAATTTGCGATGCCCTCCCTACAATTCCGGCCCCTTATCCATCCAATTCGGTACCATCTGATCTATCAACAGCCGGCTACGCACCACCTGCGCCACCTTCACCTCTCAGCTACGCAGCTGTAGTCGCGCAGCCCCCACCGCATTTAGTTGCCTTATCGGCTCCACCTCCTCCGGCCTCGCCTCCAGTTTACAGGCCCCCACCCCGCTTTTTCCGTCCATCTAATGAGTGGCGCACAGAAGACAATCGTCCTATATGCTTCACATGTGGCATCGCTGGCAACATTGCACGCTTCTGCCGCCGCCGTCCCACACCTGCGCACACATACTTCGGAACTCCTACCTACGCGCCGCAGCAGGCCACCACGTCTGCATATGAACAGAGGCACTCCGACTCGGATCGCCGCCCATCGACTGCTCGTTTCCCATCCCCTCGTCACCGATCCCTATCGCCTATGCGTCGACGACCACCTCCCGAGGATGGAAACTAATCAGTGCAGTTCCGGAGGCAAGAACTGCAACTTGTGCGCAACTCCCAAGGCCTCCATTATCGCCCCAAAATGTTGTTCATGTCGATGTTGAGGGAGTCGCCACATTAGCGTTAATTGATACCAAGGCCGCCGTTTCTGTGATGAACACAACAATTTGTCGGAAACTGAAGAAAGTGACCACATCTCTCTGTGGCATTGGGCTGTCCACGGTTAGCGCGCAACACATTCATCCCTCGTCTGTGTATACGGCGCGCGTCGTCATCCGAGACTTTTTGTACGTCGTACAGTTTTTTGTTCTACCATCTTACTCTCATGACCTTACCCTGGGTTGGGATTTCTTATCACGTCATGAAGCTATCATCGATTGTTCCCGTGCCGAAGTGTCCCTTGTGCCAACATGTGAATTTTCACCACCCGACTGTTCTCCTCTGCTCTGCAAACTCATCGCTGACGACGACACCACCTTGCCTCCAGAAGCTTCGGTCCCTATTAGCCTTTCATGTGTGGCGCAACCTGACGCAACGGTGGTATTTATGCCATCTCCGGTCTTTACTGAACGCAAGGGCATCGTTCTCCCATTTGCCGTTCTTACAATTGCGTCTCGTTTAACCGTAATGCCGGTTACCAACCACTGCAACTACCCCATCGGCTTACTTCGTGGTGAAACGTTAGGATATGTGCAACCTGTCGACCATATCGATGATATTACTCTTCCCGACGAAACGCCATGTCACATTGCCACAATCACTCATGCGTCTGGGCCATCAAGTTCGTCAGCCTTCGACAATGCTATCGATGCAGATCTACCCCTCTCGCATCGCCGCCAACTTGTTGCTCTCCTTAACAAGTTTTGCTCTTATTTCGACTTTCAAGAACCTGCTTTGGGCCGCACCACGACTACCACTCATACTATTGACACCGGCTCACATTCGCCTCTGCGACAGCATCTTTACCGCGTGTCCACCGAAGAGCGTCGCGTCATTACGGAGCAAGTAGATGACATGCTTAAACATGGAGTCATACAGCCTTATAAAAGCGCTTGGACATGACCTGTGGTTCTGGTAAAGAAAAAAGATGGCACCGTTCGATTTTGCGTGGACTATCGCCGCTTAAACAAGATTACGAAGAAAGATGTCTACCCGCTACCACGAATAGACAATGCCCTTGACTGTTTACAAGGCGCCGAGTACTTTACATCCTTGGATCAGCGTTCTGGGTATTGGCAGGTGCCAATGGCCGAATGTGATCGCCCTAAAACAGCCTTTGTAATGCCGGATGGCCTATACGAGTTCAAAGTCATGCCATTTGGGCTCTCCAACGCACCTGCCACATTTGAGCACATGATCGATACCATCTTGCGTACCCATAAGTGGAAAACTTGCTTGTGTTACTTGGACGACATCGTAGTCTTTTCATCTGATTTCCCGACACATCTTGTTTGCCTCCACGAGATTCTGACGTGTCTGACTTCTGCAGGCCTACAACTTAACTTCAAGAAGTGCCACTTCGCGGCACGAAAACTAACCATCTTGGGACATGTCATCACAAGAGACAGTGTTCTTCCGGATCCCGATAAGCTTCGAACTGTCGCTGACTTCCCGTTGCCCACATCACTGAAAGCCCTAAAAAGTTTCGTCGGTCTCTGCTCCTACTTTCGTCGCATCGTGCGCAACTTCGCGTCCATCATCGCATCTCTCACGAGTCTGCTTTCCAAGAGCAAAGGTATATCTGCATGGTCGTACTGCATCTGACGACGCATTTCACCAGCTGCGCCGCCTGCTGACCTCACCACTTATTCTTCGTCACTACGACCCCGCTGCTGCCACAGAAATTCGCACCGATGCAAGTGGCATCGGTCTTGGTGTAGTTTTGGCACAATGGAAAGACACCCAAGCCGAATACGTAGTCGCCTATGCAAGTCGCGCTCTCAAGAAGGCTGAATTGAATTACTCCGTCACAGAGAAGGAATGTTTGGCCATAATCTGGGCGTTGATGAAGTTTCACCCGTACCTTTACGGCCGTCCTTTTCGATGTGGTCACAGACCACCACTCTCTATGTTGGCTGTCCACCTTGAAAGACCCGTCCGGACACCTGGAGCGTTGGGCAGTTCCATTGCAAGAATACGACATCCGTGTTGTTTATCGTTTCGTTCGCAAGCATGCGGATGCCGATGCACTTTCGCGATCGCCATTAACACCAAATGTGGCTTCTCTGTCACGCCTTTTTACCACCTTGTCACCTATCGACACCACTGACATGCTTTCGGAGCAGCGTAAGGACCCATACCTTGCATTGTTACTCGACTACCTTATCGATCCATCTGCTGTCCCTTCCACGAGAGCGCTACGCGGCAAGCAGCCCACTTTTCCGTGCGAGACAACATTCTGTACCACCACCACTACATGCCTGGTGGTCGGAAGTGGATCGTTGCTTTCCCTGCTCATATTCGCTCTGAAATCTGCATGAATTTCCATTCAGGTCCCCAAAGTGCACATGCAGGTGTCCTGAAAACCT